CAGAAAGACCTTCATGGGAAATGTGGTTTTAAAAGCGTTGGAGGAATTTGTCAGCGGGGACCTCTTTAGTTACAGAACCCAAGTGCAGTCACCAGGGCAGGAAACACATCTGTTCGCAGCACCAGGCGGCCCCCGCGGGCACACAGCCCCCCACCTCCAGGGGAACCTCTGCGCACCAGCGTCCTAGGTCACGGCCATCTGCCCCAGGAAACCCCGCACCCGTCCTAGTTAAAGCCAGGGGTGTGCAGGGGTAGGAGGCGTGATTCATTAGCTGCTTATGAGGCTAGGAGTCGGAAGACCTGCCTTCTCTTTTCTGCTCCATTACATTCAAGAGCAATTAAGAAAAGTGATTCTGTCGCCATACGCTTGGCAGTAAATGCAGCTTCAGTGGCGAGGCTGTAGCCTTGAAGCAAAAGGGTCAGAGGTGTCTATCACATTTTCAGGAAGAGGCTAATGAAGGTCATGGTCACAAGCTTTCTGCCTGCCTATGCCTTGATTTTACTGCCTAAAAATGAAAAAGAACAGATGGACACACTGACCTCCTTTCAGTAGATCAATGGAAGTTCAACCCAGCTGGCCCTTGGAGACCTTTCTGCACAATGGGTCCGACTTTCTACCTGAGATTCTTAAAGGAAAGTGGCTATTCAACCTGACACACGGCTCAGGGGCCAGGAGTTTGCCAACAGGGATAAGAGAGACCCTCAGATTTGTGAAGTGTTCTGAGATTTCCTCTCCCATCTAGACCCAGCAGGGGTCTCATTTCCTTCTCGAGCCTTTGGGCGATGCACTGCAACATTCTGGACAGCAGTAATAGGGACGGTGGGATGATATTAAAGAATTTGGCCAATCACAGGGTCTTATTTTTTTTTCTTTTTGCCTGTGCTCCAAGCAAAAAATCTTTGAAAGGAATGAAAAAATAAATATTTAAGTGAAATCAGTGATTCCAATTATTGCCACTAAAAAATGTCCTCTTCAATCCTAATTATATGTTCTTTCATGAAAAATAGAAGAGGCATTAAATTTTAAAGTTTTCTAACAACTTAGGGTTTTAAGGACAGCAATGCAATTTCCCAACCCCCGGACCAAAATCTAATAATTCAATATAATTGGCTAGGGGCATAAACAAACGCACAAGACTGTCGATTAAATGTCAAATGCACTGCAGAAAAATCTCAGTTACCTTTCAATGTCATTTAATCATGGAATTCAACAAGGTCTTTGGAGGCAACCATTGCAGCTTCCTTAAGACCTGAACAGAGCCCCCAAGTGGTCACCAAGTCCTTCTCTCCAGTGGCCACATCCTGATTTTCTTGACCTTCTAAGGGAACAGAGAAGACCCTTCTGGCCCCTCTTATGCTATTAACTATTTGGAAGTAAAGAGAAATCCTAGATGGGCCCTCCATGAGAAAACAAGAACTTCAGACTTCATTCCCACAATTTCAAACTCTATCCATTTAGCACACTGACAGATTTTTGTTGAGATTGTAAGGAGTGGAGAGGGGAGAGCCCAGCGCTTCCACTGGAAGTTGCTGGATGCCACTGACAGCTGCACACTTCCATCAGTCCTGGCTTTGACTTCCTGATGTCCATCCAGACGACCCCCACCCCATTCCCTAGCACATCATGCTCTTCAGCCCACAGGCTGCTGCGGCTGTCTGCTCAGCTCCTGTTCCTTCTGACTAACCGCAGAGCCCATTCACATTCAAGAACTGGGGCTTCAACATGCAGATGGCCAACAGGCGCATGAAAAGATGCTCAATATCGCTAAGTATCAGAGAAATGGAAGTCAAAACTACAATGAAGTATCACCTCACCAGTCAGAATGGCCATCATTAAAGAGTCCACAAATGACAAGTGCTGGAGAGGCTGTGGAGAAAAGGGAGCCCTCCTGCACTGCTGGTGGGAATGTAAACTGGTGCAGCCACTATGGAGGACAGTATGGAGGATCCTTAAAAAATTAAAAATAGACTTACCATGTGATCCAGCAATCCCACTCCTGGGCATATGTCTGGAAAGATGAAAACTCCAATTCAAAAAGACACACGCACCCCATGTTCATAGCAGCACTATTTACAGTAGCCAAGATATGGAAGCAACCTAAATGTCCATCAACAGATGACTGGGTAAAGAAGATGGGATATATATGGTGGAATATTACTCAGCCACAAAAGGACAAAATAATGCCATTTGCAGCAATGTGGATGGACCTAGAAATGATCATATTAAGTGAAGTTATATCACTTTACATGTGGAATCTAAAAAACTGATACAAATGAACTTATTTACAAAACAGAAACAGACTCACAAAGAAAACAAACTTATGGTTACCAAAGGGGAAAGGGAAGTGGTGGGAATAGATTAGAAGTTTGTGATTAGCAGGAACAAACTACTCCATATAAAGTGGATAAACAAGGTTCTACTGTATAGCACAGGGGACTATATTCAATATCTTGTAATAACCTATAAAGAATATATATACACATAACTGAATCACTATGCTGTATGCCAGAAACTAACACAACATTGTAAATCAAATATATGTAAGACCTCCTCCCCAGTATAATTTGCAGTATTACTGCAAGCCACATGGGATACAAGGACAGAGGAATCGGATCAGAACAACACAGCCCAGCTACAGCAGTCAGAAGAGTGAAAGCAGGAAGGGATTTACGCACGCCGAACGCACTCTGATGGGGGGTGAAGTGGGTCGGGGGCAGGAAGCAGAGAGCCAAAGAGTTGGCACCACGTGAAAAGAGCATTCAGATGACGGGGCAAGGCTGGGAGACGTGAGCTGATCTGATCGGAGCGGCTCTACTGCTTAACTCCTGGTTCATTCCAGAAGGATGTCTTCTCCAGCCGAAGGATGTCACAATCCCAGAAGCTCCTGGCGGATGGAACGACTAAGGTCTCCCTGCAGAGAGTCATCTCTGGGCAGCAACGAGCACATCCTGCCCAACTGAGTAAATTAGGAAGTCACAGTCCCCCACCCCCAGTCTATCTACACAGGGGTAAACTCTTCACGTCCTGTCTGCGGGGCGGGGGTAGGAGGGAGGAAAGGACCCAAGGCTCCTTGCGTTTGCTCCCTTCCCACTTTACATTCCACACGCGCATGCCTGCCTCCCACCCTCTTACACATTAACCACACACATCTCTTGATTGGGTCTTTAAAAAATATTTAGGAGATTGTATGAGAAATAGGACTAGTTACTGTTTTTTTCAAAATACTAACTTCAGACTAAGGGGAACTTCAGGAAGAAGATACTCCCACGCTTTCTCCCTGTAACTGCAGAACCGCTTCCCTCAGACTTTTCCCAGCTTTACTGACGTGTAATTGACACGTAACTTTGCATTCATTCAAGGCGTCCGACAGAATGATCTGAGAAAGTGTATGTAGCGCGAAACAACCACCAGTCTAGTTAACATCCACCACCTCGAATAGCTACACATTTTTTTCTCGTAATGAGAACTTTTAAGACCTATTCTTTTAGCAACTTTCAAACAGACAATACAGTATTGTTAACCAGAAAAACTCTTCTTGTCCTGCTGTACGTTACCTCCCCAGAACTTGTTTATCTTAAAACTGTGAGAACGGCAGGCATTTTCAAAGGAAGCTGGACTGAGATGGTAGGTCTACAGGAGGGACCGAGTGAGGAAGAAGGAAAAATTAGGTCAAGTGAGCTCCTCTCAGGAGTTCCATATGTGCATTGGTTAAAAAGAAGGAGAGAAGGAGAAGGGAGGGCAAATTTATTATCTTAGAATAAATCAGCTCCAGAATAGAAAATTCTGTGAACTGTGAGTAAGAACACAGGCCCGAATGGCCAGTCCCTTTGGGCTAGGACATAGCAGTGGGGTCTGGGGCCCAGATCTCAGGGCATCTCCATGTTTCCCACACTCGTAATGCGACACCAGCACGAGGTGACAAGTGACGCATTCTTTAAAATTTTGTTTCAAAACCTGTTATAAACGTTGGTAGTGACCTAAAAAAGTGGGGGAAAAAAAAAAGATCTGGCTGCTGTAATAGGAAACATGCTCTCTAAGGAAAGAGTGAAGACTCAGGGACCCTTCATGCTCTGGTTAAATCATGCCTGGCAAGCACGCTCGCGCCCCATCATCACCCCCCAGGGGACTCGGCCTTGCTGGGGAGGGAGGGAGGGTGTGCAGGGAGGTCTAGAGCAATTCAGACCCTATGGGCATATGAAGGCTCAGAAAGCCCCCCGTGGGTGACTCTGACAGAACACAATTAAAAACCCTTCTTGTCCACCGGCTAAAAGGGGCGTCACTGAGACAATCTATCAGCAGCTGGGAACGTGCTGCTACGGGGGCTCCGGAGTGTCGGCTCCGTTCTGGATGTTAGAGGGCGAGCAAACTTCCCCCCGACGGCCGAGAAGGCGAGTCTTCAGTAAAGAGGAGCAGACAGGTGTTCCCGACTGACAGGTACTCCTTATTACGTGTTAGGTACTATTCCAAGGTCACGCGTGAATCCACTTGGTGTCCCCAGCAACCCACATCAGTTTAAGGAAGAGGAGCCTGAGGCCTGGGTAGCTACGTGCTCCAGGTTGGAGTGTTCCAGCCTCCAAGGGGGGCCCTGATAGCGGCTGATTACAAACTAGGCCGTCTGGCTCCAGAGCCGTCCCCTCTGCCCCCTGCACCATCACCACCGGCTCATGACAGGTCCATCGGCACACCTGAGAGTTTCACAGCCACGTGAGGCACATCTGGACAGCATTTCTGAGCCGCCCCTGCGGGCAGGGAGCTGGGCTGCTCCATGTTACCGTCTGCAGCCGCCGTGTGGCGCCCCGCCCCATGTCTCTCACCTCGCTCTCGGGAGGGCAGGTTTGCAGCAGAAGTGACAGTGTTTCCTCTAGAGACCACACTCTTGAAAAGGGAAACAGGAGCGACTGAACCAGTGCATCAGATTCTCTGTGGTTACTCCTACCTCGCCCATGCCCACGCCGCTGCCAGGATCGTGCTGGAAGGAAGTCCAGGAAGTGGTAACTTACCTCCAGAGCTGGTCCTGAGCGTCTTGCATCCTTTTGGGCGATGCCGGACATCATATCCGCTGTCCTCTTGTAACACGTGTGGCGTCCTGATCAGGGAAAGTTTCATTGTCAGACTGTTTCTGGACAGATCACTGAAAAGGATGCTGTTTCCTTCATGTTCCTGGCTTCTCCCTATCAGCACAGCCATCACCCAGAACGCTCAGAGAATCTCCCTCCTGGTCACAACAATGTCATTCGCTCACTGCTCGCCTCCCCCTGTTTCAACTGGGTTTTTTCTCCTGATGTTATTTGCTGTGCTCCCTTCCTTCCTTCCCTGCGCCCCACCTGACAGCCCACACCTGCCTCCCCGTTACCCAGGCTCATGCCTTCTGGAATGTTCTCCCCTTCTCCTCCTAATTTCTCTGCAGGTCTTCATACTGTGAACCCCTCAAGGCCCAGCTGCAATGTCTTTTATAAACCGTCCTCCAATCGCTCCACTCAAGCTCCCTCCCTCTGCCCAGAGCCCTTTAGCGGAGCCCCTGTGTGACACCTGGCAATTTCTATACTAGTTATTTATACCCAAAACTTATATCCCTAGACTGCAGTTTCCTTAGGTGAAGGGCTGGTTCCACTCTGCGAGGGTCCTGGGGAGAGTCCACTGTGACGGCAGGGTGGGGCCCGCTGCTTTGGTACCAGACAAGCCCACACTTCACGGAGCCCCGGAGAAGCAGCTTCTCACCTCCAACAGAGAAAGACTGAGAGGAATGACAGCTCTTCCGTGTTTACCTTACACTTGTGTTTTCCCCAAGAGGACCCCACTGGGCCATTTTTGCATCGTGCTGTACAGGTGCCTTTTTGGGGGTGTTTGTCCCAGATCACCCCAGAGGCCACCCATTTCCCGGGCGCCTGCCCCACACACAGCTGCTATGAATCAAGCACTAACCCTTAAACAAATCAGTGGTGATCAGAGAAGTCCATGTGGCTTCACAAAAGCTTCCTTTATCCATAGCAGCTTATAGAGAAAAGCACTATGAGGGTCAGTTTCCTCGAAGGGGTGGGATCCCCCTCCTGCTGCCCAGCACAGTAGAATCCAGTGGTTTCCATCCGGGCTGAATGACTGGTCTTGGTCCCCAGTTTTGCACCTCTCCGTAGGACAGTCAAACCTAACAGGATTTTCAGGACCCAGACACGAGAGCTCGGACCGCCCCAGTGGCCTGTTTCAACATCTTGAATGGCCAGTGAATGATGCTTCTTCGCTGCGGGGTCTTAGGCTGGGGTTTGGAGCACAGTGTATCCGTCAGCTCGGGCCACAGCCAGTCATTCCTGCCCTGCGTCACATGCGTCAGGAGCTCTTCGCTCACCTGAAGAGCGCAGGCCAGTCAGAAGCTCCTGCGCCTGGGGCCATCACCCAGCTCTGGGTACCCAGCTCCCAGGCCCACGAGCCAGCAGGGGGTGGACGCTGACTCCTCCTGGCTCACCAGAGCCAGCTGCTTGCACCTCCTCCCAAGTTCACGGACTCCACGTCCAGTGATGTCTGGCTGGTCCCCTGAACTCAACCACGGTAAGAGTATTTACACTCTGAAAACTGGCAAACACCGCAAGTATGGCCTTTCTTTCTTTTCATTTTTCTACGAGAGCTGATTTACCAAATGCCACTGACGCAAGCCCATCGCTACTCCTAATGACAGATACGAGACAGTCTACCTGCCCGTGGGGATGCCACCCCACCTCTTCTAATACAGAAAACCTACGCTGTCTCTTTGAGGCCACGCCCACACAAGGACGCGGAGACACAAAGCTGACTGCCCTGAGGGAAGGAACACTAGATGGAGTTCCAGAATTCACAGAGACTGGCATCTTAGTTCCACCCAAGTCTGGACTTACAAGTATCGAAGGTTTCTGCCCCGAAGAGTCAGATGAACCTAAGCAGGATGGGGGAAGAAGAGTCAAGCGGACTGATTAACTTCTTTAAAAGGGCAAATGGAGCCCATAAATGTTTAGTACAGAAAGAGCTGCCTCCCCTCCAGGCCTCGAGTACATTTCCATGTCTTGCTGGCCCTAATGAGGAGTGACAGCTGATGAAAGCTGCTATTCATGGTCATCTGAAACAGCTTTTCCTCTCAAATGAAATTCGGTGTGGCATGAGTCTAAACACGCAGACCAAAGGCCGCGCGAATGTATTCCCCAGGTCCCCATGGGCTGGCAGAGGCCACTCTGTGTGTGAGGGGGGCGTCCCGACTGGGCACCAGAGGCCCAGTGTAAACAATGGGAGTCTTTCTACCCGCTATGCTCAGACCCGAGACGGTGCTCCTGGCCCCAGACTCTGCCCATCCCGGGTTCTCCTCCTTGTTTATAATCAACAGCAGGCACTCACGGTGACTTGAGTTTGATGACTAGGACTTTCCACCCCCATACTGAACAAAGCCTGGATTTACCCTCACTGCCTTCTAGGTGAACAACTTCCCTGCAGGGAGGGACGCTGTGGTGGGCAGTGTGATGCACGAACTGCTTCAGTTCCGAGATGACTATTCTGACTTCTCTGGACGTACCACGAGCAAACGCACAGCCAGCAAAGGGGGGTTTTTGGCACACAGCTCGGGAATGCTAGGTTATCCCGGAAGACTGCAGGGCTGATCTTTACGAGCCTAAGGCGAGCAAACACTCCTAGGAACAAGGAGCCATAGCTTCCACTCTGCATCTTGCCATCCAACACTGACATGAAGTTACAAGCATATGGTTTCCATCAAAACAGAGCTGGCAGGATTCCCTCAGCCTCAGGAACCAGGGTAGCTGGTAGCTTGGTAGCTAGAAGCTGGGCACTTGATATAACAGCATCTGGGCCAGGCGATAAGAACCTTCCAGAAGAACCAACACACAGACTACACTAGAGTTAGCACGGGGCGAAGTGGCAGGCCCCAGAGTCGAGGACTGAGAAATCTAGTTCCGTCCCAGAGCGTCTGCCTCTGTTCTGAGTCACCCATCAAGACAGTCTTCCTTCTTTCTTGTTCTAAGTTAAGCTACTAGAAAGTTGGCTGTGGATGCTCAGCCAAGAGAGGTGGCACATGCTGTATTCCAGGCAGCACCATCAGGCCCCCCAGGGAGGGACGCCAGAGCGAAACATCCACGTTTCTCCCTTTCCGTTCCTGACTCCTGCCGCACCTCTGAGATCCCCGGGGAACAAATACTCATCTCAAGCTACAAACTCACCTTCCAAGAAACGTCACTTTATTTTCTAGAGCTATTCTTATTTGCTCTTTTAAGATCCTGTGCCACCGAGTGGTACAGTTTCTTCTAAACACTGACGTCTCCAGAAACCTAAAATGATGTCTAGAACCCAAGAAGCGAGTTTCTGAATGTGGGAATTTTAGGATTCTCCCAATTCCTGCAGTGCTGTATTTCAGTCTGTTGTCAACTGCCAAGGCAGGTTGTATGTGTCCTGGAGAACGGAGAGTCTGGTCCTAGGCTACCGTCGGTCAGCGCCGGCATTCACTGGGCTGTCCTCTTCCTGTCACTTCTCCAGTTACTGGGCCATTTAGCTCACTGTCTCATCCTTCTTGCACCAGCCAAAAGCTTTCTTCCTACAAACCTGTTTGACTCCCAGCCAGTGTTTTCAGGGTTTCCTGCCACAGCAGGCAGGGGGTTGCAAGGCAAGCACTCAGCCACTCTCCAGCGCGGTTCTCAAGTCTAAGGACCTGCGTCCTTGGGACACTCATCGCCGCCCCTCCCACCATGCAGCTCCGGGCTCTGCTGGGCGCCAGACACTGGGGTTTTGTCTCCCCCAGCTCCACAGGGACGAGACCCAGACGTCACTGCCTTGCTTCTCCAGTCCAGCAGATTTGTCATCCCGCTGACCTGCCTTAGGACCAGGCGGGTGGGGAGTGGGGCCAGCACGAGCCCCAGACAGCCTCTAACGTCCCTTCTTCCCCGTCACGATCCCCTCCTCCCAGCCTCTGAAACCGCCCCATGCACGCCAGGACACCGCGCTCCTCATCTACCTCTCACTTCAGAGATTGTTGTGAAAACACTTGGGGTACCAGGCCTGCCCCTCAAACTCTTAATTTTGAGGTCTTTGGACTTAAAAATCTTTTTGCTGTAGACCATTGTTCCTATTAGGAGTTTCCAAAATCAATTCTGATCTGCAGCTGACCCAGTTCTTCTACTTCGTTGCATAGCTGTTCAAACATCCCTGCCCTGAGACATGAATGTGGAACATTCTGTTCTGTCTGTCTGGGTTAGAAGTCATCCCAGAGTACAGAGGGGAAGCCTTTGTCTAACACTTCAAAACACTGTCCCACCTTATCTGCTGCGGGCACTGGACGGATGCACCTAGCTTCCCACAGTCTGCCGTCTGTCCTGAAGCTGCAACTCCTGTGACCCCAAGGGCCCCTCTGGAGTATTTAGGGGAAGTGGGTGTATATAAACTGTATTGTGAGACTGCAGAAGACTGAAAAATTAGGATTCTGTCAAAAAGTCTGGACGAAAAAGAAAACAGGCTCCTCACTCCTCTTGCAGGCTCTCAGATGAGGGTCTCGCCACAGCACCTTTAACTGAGGAGCGCTTACAGTGTCCCCAGGCTGTCCGCCATCTTCCTATGCTGCAGTGCGTAAATCCAATGGGGACGAGGCTCAGGTGCAAGAGACAGCTTGCATTTTTCCAGGGTGCGGGGACTTCAGGGTCTCTTCCCAGTGACGGAGAAAGAAAATGCAACGGCTGACGCCAGGCTCTGTCTCTCTCGGAGACTTGGAGCGGTCCGGCATACACACCGAAGCCTTCACCCTGTGCTTCAGACCCCTCCCACGCCCCTTACGCATGCTGCTGTCTTCCGTCGTCAGGACATCCATTATTTGCCCTGACAACCAACCACAGGACTTAGAGTCTCACCCAGGAGATGCCCAAGTGTGTCAGCAAGACTACTGCCCTTTATCCCAGAGCGGCTGAAGATCAGCGGGGAGGCGGGGGGGGGCATGGTGCATGTGAGTGTGTGTGGTGAGGCAGGGAGAACATACCTCGACAGCAGCAAGATCCCTCTTTCCAGTCCTCCCAGCATGTCCTCAGCACTGCTTGACACTTTTCACTTCCATCAGCAGAAAGGCTAAATGCAACTGATTTATTTGATCTTACAGGTATCTGCAAAAAAGAAGAAAAAAGTATTAAGTAAAATTTCAACCATTCATATTGTTGCATAAATTCATTTCTCAGAAAATTCCTCTAATGTACAGTAGACTTTACACACTAGGCAGCATGGGTGAGAAAAATGGAAGCCAAGAGACATGGAATTACTTATCCAACACCTTCAGCTAGTTAAAGGCTGCATCCTGACTTCCATGGAAATTCCTTTCCCACTTTATGAGTTTAACCAGCTTTCTGGTAGCTGGAACAATGGGCACGATCAGAACGAGGATTTAAATGTGGCTTTTCCATGAGAACCAAGGGTAGATCTCAGTGGAGAGAATTCTAATTTGGGCCTAACAGTTAAGGTCGTAGAAAATGCCAGAAGGAAGCTTGAACTCATTGGACACCACAGCGTGCCAGCGGGGCATATAAGGAGTGTGAGTGGGGAATGAGTGGAGACGAATTCTGCGGGGTTTTTATTCAACAATGATTATACACTCGTGTCGGTACTGACCCAGCACTGGTAATGTGACATAAACACGAGTACAGCATAATCACACTGAGTTCAGACGGAGCACCTTTGAGTGTTTCACCTACTTTTTGCAAAGTTCTACTTGATTTTTACTTTTTTTTGGCTTTATTAGAAGGATTCATCTATCCTACGGGGGGTTACCGGTAGCAAGGAGTGCCAAGACTGCCCCCAGACAGCGGAGACTCAGAAAGCAAACCAGTTTGTGTGTGTGTGTGCTAATGATTGAGGCTTGATAGATGGGACATTTATCTCTTTCAGATCTGCCACCAAAAAAGAAAGAAAAGAAAAGCAGGCCATTGTGTAGGCAGACATAGACAGCGTGGGCAAGGGTGGGGGGTCCTGGAAGAGCGGGAGAGGAAGGCAGAAACCTAGAAACCAAGAGTGTCGGTTCAGGTCTCCGAGAGCAGACACTAAAATGGAATTTAAAGGAGGAGAGATTTGCTGGAGCAAATACCGTTTATCTTTCAATAAAGGAGACACGGAGCGAAAGTGAGCATCACCTTCAGGTCACCACGTGAGCCCGACCCGGGAGGGGAGACAGAAAGGAAGGGAGAGGGGCTGTCGTGAGAGGGGCACCGCGTGGGGAGAAACGGCCTTCCTCCAGCCGCCATCCCCTCCGCTGCCCTCAGTCGTCGGCCACAAGTAGTGGGGAACAGCTTGGCCCCCGCCTGCATGCAGCTGTGGATGCTGGGTGGGCAGCTGAAGGCTGTGAGACCACCATTCTCCACACAGCAGGCTCCCTGCAAGGGAGACCTGAGCCCTGCACGGGAGACCTGAGCCCTGCACGTCTGTGGAGGCCACGCCTGCCGTGTCTGAAGCCAGGACGGGGGCCCAAGCCTAGACCGTCCCCTGGTGGGGCTGGGTAGGGAAACCAAGGGCTGGACTGTCTGCCTGGCATGGCTCGAGGGCCTCAAAGCTGAGCTGGACCAGATGCTTTGCCAGGCAGCCACCCAAACCTCAAATAAGGGGAACGTCACACCCTCAGCCTACGAAAGCCCTTGACAGCTGGCTGGGAGAGGAGTAACTCCTGGCCCAGGTCACATGTCTTCCCTCGCATCAGTCTGAGTCCTGCACTGGGGGCGGCTGCACTGCACTGGGGGTGAAGGAGCCCCCCCGCCCTGGGACCTGCACAGCGGGCTCCAACATCTCTGTCTCCATGGGGGGGCCTCAGAAACCAGGCTCTCTGACCTGACAACTGACGTGACGGAGCTGCCGGCAATGCGGATGGAACACAGTTTAGGGCTATAAGGTGCGTTTGACAGAGGACGTCTCCCTAGTCGTGCCCTCACTAGGATTAGGGTGAGGAGTGATGCTCGAGAGAATGTTTGCTCCCAGAGGATAATGAATGATTTAGCAACACAGTAGTTCTGTCTGGAGGCAGGGAAAGGGAGTGAGGATGCTAATGAATGAATGAATGAACTGATAACTTCTGGGTGTCTGAGGACAGGGTGACGGGGGCCTCAGATGAAAAGGGGATAATCATCTAGAAATCTTACATTGAATACACCAGTGACCACAACGCCACACGCATCGTGACAGCACATCCACCACCATCAAAAAGAAAGTTACACGTTTTAGAGTAATGACAGCAGTCACACCTCGTGCGCACAAAAAGCTGTACTTGGAGACAGGGAGTTCTAAGTAAATAATTGATGACTCTTTCTGCAAATGCACAAAGAATTTTTTTTTTGCATCATGAATAAATGAGCAACCTTTTATTTATCCAGCGAGACCTCCTTGAGCACACACCCTGAACATCATTCTTGTATCACCGTGTTCACTTCAAGGCTAACCAGCTGTTTGCTGCGTGCTCTGGGGGACAGGGGAACGGTTCCTGCAAGTGAACACAGCAGGTACGTCAGCCACAGGCACTGCCAGGGCCTTGATTTGAGGATATTTTATGGTGTTTTCTTGAACTGTGCACAAAGAAAAATGGAATATTGTTTTCTAGATGGGTTTTCTATATCTGCATTGGGAGCAGTAGTGTCTTGTGAAAGTCTCACTTTGTACGTGGGTTGCAAATGCAGGACTCAAGAAATTCATCAAAATCAACCAAGGTGATGTGCACGTTAATAGAATGGAGGGAAAACAAACGATCTTCTCAACTGATGCAGAAAAACCATTTGACAAAATGCAACATCTCTTCTTGGTATCTGTTGGATTCAACTGAAAGAGAGTTAATCTGAGGCACAGAAGCAGAATTCTGGGAGCCCCTCGGATGAACGCAGAAGCTTTTCCACCCATAACACAGACACTGTGGAGGCATTAGAAACCATCTGTTGACTGTTTCTGGAGACTCTTTTTAAGGAAGCGTGTTGGTACAATGTGCTGCCACCTCCTCCTGTGGCAGGTCTGGTTTCCGCCCAGTTTCGGCTGGTTTCACGCACTGGAGTCCTTCTGCATCCTCAGTCACTAGGCCTCGTCAGGATGCTCCGCCTGCTTTTTACGTCTAGTCTAGGCCTGCAGGCTGAGGCTTTGGGACAGCGTGAGATGCCAGCAAACCAGAAAGCCATACAGCCGAGGGGCTGTGAGGCCACCTTGCTCCACAGGGGCTCCTTCCCCTGGATCCAGTGGACCCGCTCCAGGCACAGCCCCCCACAGAACATGCAGAGAAAAGGACAACTCAGAACAGGCTTGCCTTAATTCGGCTATTTGTGTCGCCTCGTCTTCTGGACTCCAAGGGTTCCATGGCCATTTAGCCCTATTTCAAACGCTCCCTGTCTTCAGACGATGGCTGAGCCCTCACCCTTTCATAACCCTGGCTTGTCACTTTCTTTCAAAGGCCCTGGCTGGTAGACTCAAATTTCACAGAGTCTGTTAAGCCCGCTCACTGCATTTGGGGGGGATGTATTAGCAGGGGGGAAAAAGGTCACACCTTCCATTTGCTTTGCTTTACTCAGCTAATAGGAAAGGGAACCTGCGCGCATTAAGAAGCATTAGGCATTCGTCTAGTTTCTTTAATCATCGTTGGAGAGACCGGGGAGCTGTGAATCCAGACCGCGAACACGAGGGGCCCTGCAGGAGCGGGAGCGCACCGCCCCGGGGGAGTGGCCTGGCGGGGCGGGGGTGTGTGTTGGTTTGTGGGTTTGGCTTGTTCGCCGGGTTGCGCTGCCACCTTTGTTCCATGGCAGCCCTTCCAGTGTGGTGCTGCCAGCTGCCTGGCCTCAGCTGCTGGTGACTCTATCTGCAAGGGTTGGGTTCTGCACCCCCAGAAATCGAGGCACAGAGGCAGGAAACCCCCGTGTCCCTCAGCCCCAGGACCTCAGCGCCTGGGGCTCCGCAGGCCCGGCGGTCAGCTGCCCCCACTGCACGTCGTCCGCTCACTCAGCGGGTGCGCGCGGAGCGCCAGCCGCGGGCGGGGCGCCATGTTCTCCCCTTTGCTGCTGAGCCTTGTGACGCTTGGGTTCAAGCCTCCGTTTACCTTGGACAGTCCTTAGAAGACTGGGTTTCTCCTCTCTGGAGACCCTACAATGTGTTACTACTCTTCTTACAAAACAGTACCCAAAACTTCGTGAGGCCTGGGTCTGAGGACTCATCACTCAAAGTTCAACGACGCTTTGACCTTCTTTCTGAGGCAATGGCATCCGTTGTGGAAGGGTCCCAGCCCCACCCCCAACACTTGACTGAGCCACATTGATCGGCTTCTCTGAGGCTCCCATGAATACTGGAGGTTGTGAAATCAACCTAGGGGGTAATGAGAACAAAGCCAGAACACGGAGGCGAAGTGTCAAGTGTGTTTTACGCTTAGTAGGTGCCAACAGATGTCGTGTGCCATCACCTCCTACTCTGTGAGGGTCCGGTGGCGCCTCTCCCTCTCTCCCTCCCTCCCTCCGAGCCCAAGGGCCAGCTTCCTCCTCCTCTTGTCAGGAAGGAAAGCTCCCTAGTACGTCACGTGCCAGCAGGTGCGGGTCTGCCTGGGCGCAGCTGGGATGCTCTGTGACGCCACCTAAGAGCAGAGGTCACTGTGCCTCAGTGGCGGAGGAGGTGATGGCAAAATCCACCCACGACGGCCCACGCAGCATGAGGCACAGGGCAGGAAAGCGGGTGCTTTCCATTTCTCTGCTGTTCTCAGAGCACGATGGGTGGTTATCTTCTGCAAACCCCCGGGGAAGCAGGGCAAGTGGCAGACTCGAGTCAGGCTGAAGTGAGGGAGGCAGGAGCTGATGAGATCCTAGACACAGAGCCTCTCTAGTGACTCCCAGAAAGACCCAGAAGAGGGGAGGGGGTGGAGTCATGCCTTCGGGGTGGTGGGGGCTGCCACGCTGCCACCTACCGGCCCCTAAAGTCTCGTGATCTCAGGCCTCCATCAACAGGGACACTGTTGACTGTCTTTCTCGTATTTACCACCAGGGTCTCACTTTCTTGCCTGTAAAACTCGTACTGGAAAGTGAATTTCCCAAACCACGTGCCAGAGTCCTCTTTACAGTGAAGAAGACATACGACGGCCCCCAGTTGCATTGATTTATTAATATTTATACACGAA